GCAGGAAACCTGTATTAATTAGGGAATGAACCTGAACAGCAGTTTCCTAATTTATGTTTCATGCACACTGACTCAAAATGTGGATAAAAACCAGTTCCATGTGTCCTTCTTTCCTTAGGTACCTGGTAGCACTCATAATTTAACCATTTTATTTCTTTGGAAATAAAAATCGTAGATTCTCTCTAAAAATATTGCTGAAGAAAAAATTGTCAGAACTAATTGAAACTGTTGCACTGATGTTTTTCTTTTGCCAATAAAGTATCTGTCATTGTCTTTTGTGTAGGCAGAACCCTGAAAGAAGGCTTCTCTGCTTCACCCACTCTGGTCCAGGACAGATTACTTCCTTCACAGTTTATACAAAACTTGCTAGAAGAAACTTTGTAAGATGGATACCATAAGTCTTTGACATGTCATTATAATGTAAATTCAACAAATTCCATTGCTCAACCACAGCATGTGCTGGAAAGACTCACTAGTCATATCCTAAATGTAAGCAAATACTGAGAAATGCTTCAGAGTTAACAGATTTAAATTTTACTATTTAAATTTTTGAACATTCACATTGTTTCCTCTAATTAAACTACACCATCACATATAAAGATATGTACAAGCACCGAAACATACCTTACTTTACATGGAATAGCTGATTTTCCAGACTTCATGATGTTTGCTCTGCTTGGTATAGTCTCCAAGTTATGACTGTACTTACTGCTGCCACTGCCATTGCTTATATATGCCTATATGAATTTGTTTGTGTGATTAATTTAAAAATCTGCTTATGTTTTGATATATCTTCTCCACCAAACAGAAAGCAAGCTGCACAAACAGATAAATGCTAGCAGCAATAACAGGCATCAGGTCCAAGCAGTCCAGTGGATCTTATTGCAGTACCATTATTTTGCATTTTTAGTTTTGTAATTATTTTCTTAGGCTACAAATAGCTCATTATACATCTCGTTGCTTTAGCTTTAACACTTGGAAGTTAAAACAAAATTCAGCAGTGGGCAGAAACATTATTTTACTTAGCATAAAAGCATGTAAGTGAAAGCATCAGGAGAGGGAAACTGGTGCAGGAGTTCTTTTATGTATCTGAGTATCTTCAAAGCTTTTCTGATAAAGTGCTTTTAGAACAGAAAACTATGTACATGCCATTTACATATTTTTAACATAGCTTATGTGTCTGAGTACAGAATAAACAAACATATATCCACTAAATACTCAAACGGGTTTCCTATAGCTACATAGCAACCATTGCTACCACCAAGTGGCGCATAAGAGTACAATGTCAAGTAATTTCCCTTCTAGGACTTAGTAGCACTAACTTTTTAATTCTGCACACTTAAATCAGCAAACTCCAAAACAAACAAACAAAAAAAGATTGCAGGGACCAGGAGCTAGAGAATTCCTGGCAGGCCATCCTGGCTCTTGTTTACTTCATCCCATAGTTTTAACCTAATTCTTTGTCTCCTTAAGAAGACACAATGCCATCGCCCAGAAAAATAACTGTGACGATGTAGATCAAAGTTGGTTTTTTTTCCCCTCACATGAAGTCCTGTAAAAAAAGTCTTGGACAAGCTGCAAACACGCTGTTCCATAATATTTATTTACAGATGGAGCTTTACTGGTTATCAGTGTATCTTTAAAATACTTATCTTAAAAAAAAAAAAAAAAAACCACTAAAAAAAGCCAAAAAAATCCAAAGCAGTCAACTATCCCAAGAATATTACAGCCACTGACAGGCACCTGGTGTAAAACACGGCTGTTTCACAGAGTAACACATCACTTAATAGGACTCAGCAAAGCCTTTATTAGAAAAGTACTGAAGCAGTAAGTAGCAGACTGAAAAGACCGTAAATGAGGAAGATCAAGCCTAACTAAAAAAAAACAGCCAACCAACCAACAACCCCACACTCTTGCCAGCACTAGAGGTCTCAAATATAGTATTTCTAGGACTAATACTCTGATAAGCAATAGCAATGCTGTGAAAAGACACAAATTGAAAAGGCACATATTTACTTTTGGTACGTCACGAAAAGAGCTGAAACTACAATAACATGTTTCCCAAACTAGGTGTTTCAGAGTTTCTGCTCCTAACTGCAAATTAAAATTAGACTGAACACAGATACCCACATTTACAATGGCAAGTATGTAGTCTGACTTAATTTAAAAAAATACCTCATGTACCTCATGGATCAGCTGTCAGCTGAAAGAAGTTTCTTCCTGTTTAGTACAAAATTAGTTTAAAACAATAAAGAACACTGGACTTTCTTCCCTTTAAAATTAAAATGGACTTTTGAAAATGTGACAGATGTAGCCACACTGATTAGTGTACAGTCCAGGGTTGAAGAAAAAGACATACAATTCTGCTGCAAAATTTTCTGATTTATACAATGAAGAAAGTCAAATAAATTCATATTGCCTAAGGAATCACTACTGAAGTGAGTTCACATAAATGTTTCAGAAAAGAGTGTGAAGAAATCTCTAAGAAGAGAGATGAAAAAGGACAAAGCAAAACTTGACTCAAGCACCCACTTTAAATACAAAAAATATTAACTGTGGCTAGCAACAGAAAGTAATGAACTGATTATATCTTAGTGTATTAACATACATAAGACTTACTGGCTAAATGAGTGTTGTTAATGCTGATATAGAGCTTTGATGAAAGACCAAAAGTGCTGGAAATCATTCCTTGTAAACAACCATGGGAGTATCAGTCCTATTTTTCTCTTAGCATGGAAATGCAAAATAGAGGTACATGGTAACATTAAACACAATTAATGGTGGGTAACATTTTTACAAATACCTACTAACAGCTATGAGCAATTTAATGTGGTCTGAGAGTGAACTAGATAGTAACATAATAACAATAATATTTACCGCTGGAATGGTTGAACAGGTCCCAACACTTCTGTCTGAGGTGATGCTTTCAGTCCTTGTTCTGTGCTGAGCAATATGAACGATACTGTCTTCATTTCTAAAATAAATAAGTGTTTTATTCCACTAGAAAGATAAACATCCTCTGCCTTTATGAGCATCATATTTTAGCCTTAACTTTTTGAGATATAATCGGAAGACTCCCAACAGAATATTCAAGTACTACAGAGCATTTACATTTTAAATATTAACACTAGCTGTTCAAAACAGGTATTTGATGAAAGGAAGAATCTGTTGCACAATAGCCACATGGATACCAAACAGATGAAAAGAAGCTTCAGAGCACTGAAAAAAAAACCCCTCAGATTCTGCACAATGTCTTGATCAGTCATTTCACTAAAAATCAAACGCAGATGAGGAGTACAAGCTTGGTATATGCATACAGGTACATGGTAGGCTGGCAAACTCAGAATTTCATGTACAAGGGCTAGCCTGAAGGTAAACAGGAATTTGTAAGTATGTAAGGAAAGGAATTAAAAGCTAGAACAACACAGAGTACAATGTATTTTAATGATAAATTCCAAGCAGCATCTGAGGGAGCAGCAGAATAATTTGGCTTTGAGACAGAGCATTTCCTAAAAGTTATTTAGAAGCAGTATTTTAATATCAAGAACTCTTTCACTACCAACATTAACTGAAATAAAGAAAAAGGGAAAACAATTCCACCATACAAAATAGATTAGTCTACGAATTATGTCCAAGACCTGTTCTTGGATACTACTAGATACCACTACACAGCTAGACAACTGATCTGTCACATATTACATATGTAGTACAAATCAACACGTTATTTATCATGAGACCAATAGGAAAGATATTCACCTCAATGTTTTAAAAATAAATTGAATTTTTAGTCTACAATTTAAACAAGGGTAGCTGAAGCATAGTCCTTTCTCAGCTACTTGAAAGATTTATGTTTATTGGGGGGAGGGGAAGAACCAAACTCCTAGATAGTAAATACAAACCTTTACCTGTAATGCCTGAATTTCTCATTTAAAGTTGACAAGTCAACCACATCAGAGCATTTATCTCCATGCTCTGTATCGTTACAGCACTCTTCTTGACCTGTCTGATTTTTTACTTCAGCAGCATTTTCAGTTACGCTTTTGCCCTCAAAAAAAGCAATTGCAGAACTCCCTGCATCTTCACCAGACTTCCAAAGCATAGCTTGCCCTTCAACTTCTTCTAACGCTGAAGTCAACTTTAACATATTCAGTCTCTGTGTATCTTCACTACTTTCAGTTGTATCAGCCTCTTCGTTGCTACACATAAAGTCATTAGAGATTCTGCTTTCAGAGAAATCACCCACTTCATACATTAAGTCTGCATTGTCTTCTTTATCTTTGCTGAAGAAGTTGAGCTTAATCTCAGCATCTTCTACAAATTCTGATACCTCTGTTGCATTATCATCCTCATCAGAACCTGGTGGGTAAAGCAGTTCACCATCTTCCTGCATTTTTTTTGTATAGCCGCTGGCAGCAATCTCTCTATCAAGAGAATACTCTCTCCTGTGAAAGAAGTAAAGGTATGTTTTCTTTCAATACGCTAAGTCATCAAGCTACCAATATGCTACACTTTGGATTAAAAATACTAATCAAGCTAGACTATAGTTACCCATACTATTAACAAAGAGGATATACTCTGTTGAAACACATAGAACACCACATGATAGTGCTGAGCTTTAGGTGAAGTATTAAAAGAATGCAACCTAAGAGAAGCAAACTTTTACAGAAGATGATTCAATCTCCATAACTAGCCTTTATTTATTTATAGGAAATTATTTTATTTTAGCAGAAATACAATTTAAGTTCAAATTACTTTTACACAAACAGAAGAATAGAGGGTACACTGACACACAGAAACTGACTCAAGTGTGGTACCCCTTTGGAAAAGTGCTCCAGATGAAATAAAACCCTTTTCATTGCAACACCTTCAGTCTTAAAGTAAGTAAAAAATTACTTTACTTTTCAAAAGTGACAAAAGACATTTGGAAGAAAACTTTGAATATAATGTTTGAAGAGGCTGTCACCATATTTACCAGCATTTTAAAAATAAATTTAAAATTGAAACACAAATTAATCTTCAATACACTAGAACTGTCAAATAGGTTTTGAGAAGTGGGAGAAACCAATTCTGCACCACTGCTAATATTTCCTAGGTATTTAACATTTGGATCAAGCTTTCAGATCTCTCTTTGCTGTAATAGGAAAGACAAAGGAGACAGCAGCAGATTTTAAAATCACACTTTTGCTTTTTGGAAACCACTTACGGTAACTTTGGTTGAAGAAAACCCAATAGGAATGACAAAAAAATAAATTGCATAGTTGGGCCTATGTTTTTACTTCTCCTACAAGCATCTCTCACAAGCACCTGTTCTTCTCATAAAACCAAGACAAATATGATAAATAAGAGAACTCAGATTAATCTGGCAGTTTCTACCTGATGTCTTTGAATGCTGGGAAGAGCTCACTCTCATAGTTGAAGCGTTTCTTAAAGAACTCCTTGATACAGTTAACATCTCTGTCAAAATACCTGCAAAAAAAAAATTGAATTGTACAAACACAAAATCAAGGTAATGACACCTACTGTAACAACAAACTTCTACCCTACATTTCTTGTCTTTTACTGATTTTATTCAATAACTGTTTCTATTAGTGATCCCAAGACAAAAGGCTAGGGAGACAAACTGCATGCAGTTTCTATCTAAGCATTTTGTCTGAGAAGCAACTAAATATTTATCCTACAGAGACATTTCTACTCATTCATAAATCAAACTATGTTTGGAACATTATTTGTGCTGCATGTCAATGCTAAAAAAAAATCAGAAACAGGCTTAGGGAATCATGGCTGACTATTTGCTGTCATCAGAACTTGCCAGATTCACTTTGAAAACATCTTTAAATTTGAACCTACCATTCAGCATTTGCATGTGATGTTGATATCATCTGAGGGAAATCAATCATAGTGACATGGTCACAATTATCCAATATAAGATTAAATTCATTGAAATCACCATGAATCAAACCATGATTGGCAAGTTTTACAATTAGATCCATTAATTCACTGTAGACAGAGGCAGGATCTTCCATTTGGCGTACCTGGCACCTGAGAAGTTAAATAAAATAAAATATTCTGAACCTTGAAAGACTTTATTTAAAAATATAGACAAAGTGTATGAAATACATCTGACAGAATAACAGGGTAATTCAAGTTAAAAGGGCCCTCAGGTTTAGAACCCAATACCCTCCTCAAACCTCAGTCAACTTTGAAATCAGACCAGATTGCTCAGGGCTTTGTCTAGCTAGGGCTTGAAAAATTACAGGTATGCAAAAAGACTGTGCAGCCTCCCCAAGCACCTGTGCTACTGCTTACTGTCCTCAACGGGACAAAATTTCTCACTATATCCAGGCTAAATCTCTTTTCAATTTATGCTCATTGCCTCCCATCAGGCACCATTGTCATAACGCATTATTTAAACTATGCATCTGTAAATTTTTATGTCTCTCCTGTTTTAGGAAATCTTATGGTCTCAGCAG